CTCGAACTAAAATGAGTGATGCACATGGATGCCTGGTTTTACAGTAGTTTCTGATTTGGAAATAATTTTCGTACCCTGGTTTTTCCTAGCCATACAAAGTTCTGCTGTACTCTAATTCTGCATCACATGCACACATGGCATATCATAGTTTTAACAGTAAAGGTAGGTGGATCAGTCCAGATGTTGATAGTTGATTCCAACGGTGGTATTTGTATCAGATCAATACTTTCATTCTGTCCTCTTATTTTATTTATAGCCTATATCACATTTAAATAACACAATGATCCAAACGGCTTTGGATCAGAACCCAGTTTTCAAAATACGTGAAAAGCTGAAAGGTGTGTTTTGTTGCGTTAACTAATTATTGAGGAAAGTCAAATTCATAAATCACGACACACTGCTCTACTGGCCCTGTATTTACTTTGTATCAGATCAATACTACCTAAAGTATTACACAGCACTACTTAGTATTAAAGATAGTAATGTAATGATAACTTATGTAAATTCATCAGAACAAACGAGAAGAAAAAATCAAAATTGTTGTTTACCCTGCATTGTGACACAACTCTGTTCCAAGTATTGCATGTTGACTGATGCAATTCAGCCTCAACACTGGCAGCACTGCAATAACATGCTGGGATCATGAAAGACAGCTGGTGCTAAGAACTTTAACAGAGCTTCTAATCCTTTTATGAGCCGAGGTAAAACGTGCCACGTAGCCTGCATGACAACAACCTGTAATGAAATGCAGCTGTTCTGTTCCTCCAGCAGTTGCTTTGTTAGGTTTATTCCTCCGTTACATGTGTAGCGGTCGACTTTAATGTCCAGCTTTGATGCCATCATGCGCACATCGTGTACGAAGTGCAGTTTGTACTTCTGTTAGGTTCCTCATAGGCCAATTACAAGAATCATGTTTTCTGTTCACAGGTGTACCCTTCCTCTTTGCCCTGTGAGAGCAGGGACAGACTCCTGCCACCACTGTAACGCTGAATTGGATAATGATGTCAAAAAATGGATGTAATTTTTCATTTTACATAAAAGAGGAAAAAAACATGATCTGTTTGACTTTGGAGATATTAAAGACATGTTTTCTGTTAAAGCTCACAAGCATTTCTGGGCCTATGGCTACAATGGAAATATAAAAAGGAGTAAACCTTTGACTTTTAAATAAAGATGACCTTTCACCTCTCTTTCTTCGGTAAACCCATAAGCATAAGAGATGCTTCTGCCTGTATGTTCACATTATCATCTTTTGCCGCTGCCTTCACTGCTGAAATTTACCCAGGCTCACAGAGGAAATAAAGAGCGGACTGCATTAATCTGTGCAGCTCTGATTAAACGGTGGGCTTTGAAGTCTAGTCTCCAGGGAGACAAATGCCAGGTCCGGAGGGATATTAAACACAGCTTTGACCCAAGATGATTTTTAATCTGACCCGAGATTCATGAATGGCAGGTGCTGTCCACAGAGGAAGATGGCAGTTTTCATAGGTTGTGTGGTTTTCATAACTACTCTTTAGTGCATATGTTATTCCCATAGACTGTATATAAATGTTGGAATAACCACCGTCATGTAACCCATTGGTTGTTGACAGTTTGAAACATCAATGTCAGCATTTTACGATCTGCCGTTATGAGTTTTGGAGCTAAAAGTGAGACTGGAGCCTTTTATTGTTAGCAAATGCTGGTATTAGCAAATTGCATCCGTATTTATCTGGTAATTAATGTTAAGCAACACAATAATAAAATACTTGAATTTTACTCACCCCAAATGGCAACCTGCCCTTGAGCTCAGATATTAAAGGAATCAGTTACCATGTTAAATTTCATGACAGTGCAGAAAAATACAAAACAAGTACGGCTGCCAAGGGTTGCCAGCAGGAAGCGTCTTCTCTCCAGAGAATTTGGTCGCACGGTTTAAGCTTGCAAACTTGCATCTGAACAAGCCACAAGACCTCTGGAACAATATTGTCCGACCGTTGAGACTGAAGTGAAGCTGTTTGGTCATAATGAACAGCATCACATTTAGGGTAAACCAAAAGCATATCAACACAAAGACCTCAAACCAACTGTCCTGCACGGTGGCGGAGGCTTGATGATTTGGGTTCATTTACTTGGGCGACTTGCAGTCATCGACTCAAACATGAAGGTATAGCAGTCCAGACCTTACTCTCAAATACTAGTGCTTCTACAGGCTATTGATTCATTTTATATGAATCACAGAGCTCCTGTAAAAACTTTGTCTCACATAATCAGTAATAATAGTAATAATAACAACAATAGTAGTAGCTTTACCATTAGTGTTAGCATTATTTAAACTGCTGGAATAAAAGAAAAGAAAACACCTTTCAGATAAAAAATATATATTTCAAAACCCTTCACATGGTGTAAATTGTCTCACTGCCGGCAGACATGTTGTTAGCAAGTAATTATAAGAGTTTATGTAGAGGTTGGAGTGATAGGTGGAGCGAATAAAGTGGAGCCTTTGATCAAACTCCTCAGTAAAATAACTATGAAATTAAAATCCAACCCACTCTGCACCCCACTGGGGATTGGGGGTGTCTTTGGAAGTTTTTGTCAAATCATAATCGCTCCCCTGAGTCGTCGTGTTAAGTGGAAGGAGTTCAGCGTTGGATACAGTCAGCGACACTGACAGGATTAAAAGAAGAAATATACCGAGTCTTTTGAAAGTCATTATGACAGATTGGAGCATGCGAGTGGCTCAATAGGATTGAAAGTTCACAGATGGAGCAGCAGCAGTGTCAGCATCAGCACGTCCTCCCTGACCAGTAAGAGACCGGCAGACGCAATCTCTGTGTCATCCAATAGAGGGTACTGTTTAGTTTCGCAGGCAGACCAAACATGCTTATATCCTCCTCTAAGATCAGAATGCAGCCCAGGTTTTCTTTCTCCCCCTCCTCCCCCGCGTCCTCTCGCTGCTGCTGCTCATGGTGACATATTCAGTATGCCTCCTAATACACTGCCTTGAATCATCATGACCCCTTTCGGTTCCATCCAGCGCTGTCCGCACAATGAACCCTCGCCCGTCTAATTTTCTTTCTGTGGGTGCTCAGTCTGCGATTGCTTGTGAATGAAGATGACACAGCTGTCTTTTTCTTCACCGTCTAACAGCCAGACAGCGTGTTGGCTGCTCCTGCTACCGATGCATTTATCACGCCTGTTTGAGAACCGCATCCGATCAACTCCCACGTGTCTCGTTTCTCACGGGACAAAAATATTTTATTTGAATATGCTGCTTGTATCTGGTAGCTAGTTCGGTGTCTTTTTGACTTTCTGTAAACAGCTAGTGTCCCCGCTGGATTTCTTCTGGTCTGCAGGTTGGTGTCAATGTCAGGTTGCATTATTTGATGCACAGCAGGGTTTAACATTCTGAACCCCTCTGTCAAAACGGCGTGCAGCAGCAGTGGGTGGGACTCTGTTCAGTGTGTTGGCAGACGAGACAAGTCGCTGGGGAAAAAAAACATAAAGTCTCTACGTATTTCAAGAACATGAGGCGTATCTAAAAATGGATTTGGTTCAACCACAGGAGGCCTCCGGACAGACTTCACAAGAAGCGCTTCGCAAAGTGCGGACACTGAGAAATACTATGTAATGTCCTGAATGGGTGTGCTGAAAAAGGTAGGGATTGATGCCCAGACTGGGGGTTTTTGCGGAGTGGAGTTTTATGCAACTCCTCGTGGAGGCGGCGCACTCTGAGGGCACCGTCCTCAGGTGGCTGCTGTTTGAATTTCCACTTTGCTGTCAGAATGGCATCATCACAAAGAGACAGTATATTGGGTTAATGCTTTGATCTAGCCAGTCTATTTGTGTCAGCGCCTTTCAGCATCATCCTTCTGATCGGCTTCAAGACCTGTCAAGAACGCCAAGGCAGGAAATTGTAGGACATTACACATTATGTGACATTTATGGCTGGTGATAAAATGCTGGCAGTGAGCCTGGCTGGGGAAAATCAGGTCAGTGTTAAAAAAGAGATTGTCGATTTGACTCGTACTGAAGCGCTTAACCTTACGTTTGAAAGCTGTGCATCTTAGTCCCATAGACACTGCAATATTGAGAAAATAGGAAATGAGCAACCACGGGATGCAGCTTCGCAAATCTTTTATGTAACACTTAAAACAGCCTGAAGGCCTGAGCTGTCTTCT